ACATAAGACTAAAATTGTTTAAATGAATCCTAGGTGTGGCCAAAAACCCCAAAGCTTTGCACCAAAATCTTGGCAATGAGAGAGAAGATGCTACCTGGCAAGAAAATGTTGAAACTGTTGAGTGCTGAGAGGTCCGCAAGCAGGATTATATGGAAATACAGTACCAGGGAAGACTATTAAACTTAAACAGTTGATGTTCTTCTAATAAAGCTTGAAGCTGGTTTTATTCAGCTACACAGAAATAGTTAAATCAGTTGAAATGCTTATTTTTCTTATTGGTGGTTCTGATGGTCCAGCATGTCTTTGGCAAGGCAGCCTATTGATGTGCAGATGTGTATTAATAAATGTGGGTTGCACAGGTAGTGTGAATAGTGAGAATGGTGTTAAATTGGTGGCAGTGGTTTGGATTTAGTGTTTGACAAGCTCTTGTCAAGAGACAGCAAAACCAACTTCCAAATTGCAGTATTGTTTTTAAAGAAAAATGCACATAGAATCATAGAGTAGTTTGGGTGGGAAGGGACCTCTAAAGGTCACCTAGTCCAACCCCCCTGCCGTGGGCAGGGACATCTTCAACTAGAGCAGGTTGCTCAGAGCCCCGTCCAACCTGACCTTGAAGGTTTCCAGGGATGGGGCATCCACCACCTCTCTGGACAACCTGTGCCAGTGTTTCACCACCCTCAGTGTAAAAAATGTCTTCCTTATATCTAGTCTAAAATCTATCCTCTTTTATTTTAAAGCCATTCCCCCTTGTCCTGTCGCAGCAGGCCCTGCTAAAAAGTTTGTCCCCATCTTTCTTAAAGTTACATACGCTTACCATGAGATTGGTCAGTGTGTCTCATGTGGATTGAACTTCTTTGCTGCAGGTCTGTTAGTCACAGATGATCTTAAACAACTTAAAACTATTAAAACATTTAAGTTAATCAAGGAAGCCTGGTTGCTATGCTTAACACTGCTGTTTCATTTGATGTAATACCTGTCCTCGTTTTTCAAATGTGATAATACATTTTATTCAGCCTTCACATGAAAATGGTTTATGAAATAATATGTCACTTCAGTACATTCAGAGGCACTAGGGACAGGGAGTGAGGAAGGGAATTGGTTGCCACAACTGCAGTCCCTCTTTGAGTAGCCAGTTGAGATTTTTTTGTTAGATGGCTTCTCAGAAGTGAGTGTTAATGTCTGAGGGCCATAATGAGATGTTCTTCAGCCATAAAATTGCTGATCTGTGTATTAAACTCTATCTTCAATATATGAAAAACGTAGCTCTTCTCTCAATACGAGACCTTTTTTTAAGTGGCAAATGCATTGTCTAGAGAGGTGTAGTCTGTAAAAGCATCCCTTTACTAACCTGATGTTGCAAATAGTTAAACATAATTTACATGTAAATGGCATATGCAATTGAGTGATACACGAAGTCCTTCTGTTTTATAAGTAATATTAGCGAGCCATTCAGATCCCTGATTCTGTTGATATTTAGTAGTGGAAGGAGTTTTGTCTCTTTAAAAAAAGATGGCATGATACAAAAAATAAATTAGAATTTGTGAATGGCAGTTCCTTAAGTAGAAACAGCAAAGCACTGTAATATGGGATTGAAGTCTCCTTGTGCTCTTCATTGTTGTAGCCTAGTTACTAGTATTTTTTCTTTACACTTATAGTTACTTCCTAGATGCTGTGCCTATTTAACCTCTGTGTAGAGGCACTTGATACTTACCTGAAGTTCATAAAATGATGTCTAGCTTAATTGTATGGCAAAGTCTACAAGCAGATTATATCTTTGAGTTAGTGTTGAAAAAAGGAATAAACCAGGATGAGATGTTTGCCAGAGGAGGTAACATCCTTCCGGGAACATTTGGTAGCAGAAGTTCTGGGTAACATTTTGGTCTTGCCAAAGTCTCCCTTGGAGGTTTCAAGTGTGTAAACATTCGTGATTTGGCTTTACTTTTAGTTTCCTTGGCAGGAAATTATTGCCATAAAAGGGTGATAGGGAGCCTCACATTAAGCACAACAGATAAGGCTGTTTGAAAAAAACGAAAACAACCCAGCTTGAGCTTTTAATATACTAAAGACTTAATGCAGTGGGACAGATACTAATGAATGCATTTCAGCTATATTTGTCCTGATTAGTACAAAACTTGAGAATACATATGGAGACATCAGGTTTCTCAACTATGAAATTCCCATCTGTACTACAAAATGAGATGGTATCATATGGCATGGAACTCTGGTCTCCTGTAAACAAGATACAGGTGGAGCATGGTGTGCTCATTCAGAGTTTTTTGGCCAGACAGAAGTTTAAAAGCAGTCCATTCATGAAGTTTGGATGCTTTAAAGCCCCAGGCTTGTTCATGTAACTGAATCTGTAAGCCTTTCAGTATATCTATATATGTTGATGAGAGTCAAATAATTTGTATTGCTGAGCAAAGTCCTTTTCTCTTATATTGGTATACATTTAAGCCAATGTACTGGTATAAATATGTAACGTATTTACAAGTGCCTGTGTGTTTGTATGTATGTATTTGGAGGGAGTGGGACTGGGAAGTCACCTTTTGACTGACCAGCAAGGCTTGTCCCATAAGCAGTGGAATTGCATAAAGTTGCATTTTGTACTGATTCATTATGTTCCTGTCGTCAGCCCCTCTTTTGTCTAGTAACTAGCAGCTGGGCAAGAAATGCTCTGGTTGTGTCTGGTTTTGAGCTAACCTGTTCATTGACAAGTATAAGTATGCTGGTTGCTGATCAGCAAGCTAGACAACTGTGAATATTGAACTTGTGCTTCTCTCTCAGTGTAACTTCTCTCTTTAGTTCTCAGCAATAACTTCTCTCTTCCATCCATCTGTTGGCCTTTGGAAAATGTGATCTTGTTTGTCCTCCAAAAATCTCAAATTTGTCTATAATTATCTAAGTTCAGTTCTTATTCTAGGCCTGAGACTGAACTCTAGGATAAAAATATCAGAACAAGGATAATAGATATGATTTCCTCAAGTAGTTTATCTATTTTAAGTGCACACTTGACTCAAATAGCTTCTGTTCTATGGTTGAGCATTGCTGTATATTTGGAGTTTTTCACTCAACATTCTAAGAGTTGTAGAATTGTAGATGAATGTTCACTATTCTGTTACTTTTTTCAGCATACCTGAATAAATTTAGAAGGCATACTTAGAGCATTGTTGGTATTTTCTTATGATTCTTTAAAAATGATACTAAGCATCATATGTTGAGAAAGGAAAAAATAGATGAATGGGAGAATTTGACCTTCTCCTAGAGGGGACTCCAAGTTTTGCTGCAACCTGGGTTATTTCAGATAAAGATGTGGAAACTAGTTCTCAGTTTAAAATTCTCAAATCTTTTTTGTTGCTGTTGCTTAAATGTTAATTGCCATAGTATAACTATTTGTCTCTGATGGGAACTCCCTGGCCATCCTGCCAGAAGTCAGCCAGGCAGAGCAACCTGATCTAGTATCAAGGATAGCTCTCCTTTGTTTTGAGAGGTGATTTAGGTGACCTCCAAAGGTTCCTGCTGTCCTAAATTATTCTATGATTTAGTCTCCACTTAATCATGGTTAACTGCAAGTGTCTTGAGTTTCAGGCAACAAAAACTTAAAAACTGTCTGCAGTTAAGCCCTTTCCCACAGACTACAGGAGGACCCTTGTTTTGGCACCTTGGCCAATTACCCAAAAGTGAGCATAGGCCTGTTTATGTATTGCTTGTACCCTGGGAAGCAATGTGATGATGTATTATGACTGGAAAGGAGTTACTACACTCTGCATTAATTTAACATAGATCACTCCCACTCCATCAGTCTTTCGGGACAGAGGTAAAATCTGAGACAGATGAAGTACTCAAGCACATAACTGAAATGACATCGTTTCTCCTGAGAATAGCTGTCTAAATTACAGCAGGACAATACACCTTATTAACTGAAAATGGTGCCAAGTTAAGCCTGGTTTGTTTTTTTTTCTTCAAGTTAAGAAGCTTAAATGACCTTAAATAATTTTCATGCTTGCTGACACAAGCATGCCTTTAACTGGCTTAAGTAAACTTGTTTTAAAGTGATCAACTGTAGTGATCAGTAATCGATTTAAATTACTAAGACCTTACTGGCTTATTAACATCAGGTAATATCTTTCAAAAGAAGAAAAGGGACCCAGGTTCACGTTTGGTTTTGTTTCCTTGTGTTCCCACAGTTGAACTGCATTGTTTGCCAGTTTACCTAGTGATTAGGTAAATGGTACCCTAAATAAATCTAAAAGTAGCCCTTAGCTGTACTATTCCAGCTAGAAATTAGGGTTTTTTAATTCCCAGGTAAATTCTCCCTCCCTGGATATCTATATATAGACTTCTGAGGTTACAATAGGTCTATCCTATTTCATGGTTTCTCTCTTCCTCCCAAAAGTGTACACTGGCAACAAGGGAAGTCTTCTGTCTGAGATTTCTTACTCTGGGAGGTCACTAGGCCAGGGAAGTGGGATGTTGGAAGGAGTGTCTAGACTCTTGAAGACTAACTCTTCTCAAAAGTTCTGTTGAATCAAGATTTCTAACTTGGCTCTCTATTTTAAGAATTTCTGAATTGAAGTAAACATTCTGACTTGCCTTTCCTATTTCTGTTGAAAAGGAGTTACTGACTTTTTATAAAAAGGACACCATGAGGTAGAACATTGGCTACATGTAAATGAAGGCAGATACTGTTCTGAATGCTGAAAAAAAGGCAATGTAATATGAATAGTCATATTCAACTACAGCTTGTCAGTGATCTGATTACCATACCTTACTGAAAACTACTGCATTTGTAATAGTACTGTGTTTAAATGCATTTCAGTGATTGTATTCCACCTTTTTTTCAGAAATGTTACGAACAAAAACAGTACAAAAATGGACTCAAGTTCTGCAAGATGATCCTCTCTAACCCGAAATTTGCTGAACATGGAGGTAACTGCAGACTCAAAAGATTTTTTTTTTTCTCCTGTTGTGAGCTTAAATGTATAATCAGTCTATTCCATACTGTTGGGAAAGAAAGGAGCCTGTTGCTGAGTATGATTCTGTCCTTATGACTGAATAATTACTCTGGATTTTCAGTCTTTGTGCATTCAGACCAAGTTTCCACCCTAGCTCAGTCAAACACTCCTGTGCGGTGGGATGATGAAGATCAAAATACATGGTGGAAGCACACTGCAGTGAAGCTTCCAAGTAAGTTGCCTTTCTAGGTTTCTGGGTCAGAATGCCAGTGTGGGTTTTTCTTACATTCCTATTTAATAGCAAGCCCAGCCTTTTCTTGAATATTACATGAAGGTATTCTGCCAATGAATTAAAAGTCTTGCTTTTTTGTCAACTTCATACTCTTAAATTTCCCGTACTGCATACCAAATTGCTACTTATAAGGAGCAAAGTTAGGTGTAATCCTGTTGCTACTAAGACTTGAAGCTGAAGACAGAATCTGGAGATACTGTTCTGATAAATATTGCAGGAAATGGGACAGCAAAATGTTGCCTCTATTTACATCTGTCAGAAGTTAATCTTCAATAAGATACTCTAGTCTTACTGCATTACAGGGTTTCTGTTGCATGGTTCAGCCAATCTTCTGATACAGTGAATTTTTCTTGTTTGTCTGCTGCTGAGCAATGTAACACTGAGTGTGCATGTACTGTGTCAGTAAAATTGTTTTCCTATTTGACGTTGTCAAATCTCGGCAAAATGTTCAACTAATCCTTTTCATGCTTCCATCAGTGTCTGCTGTTTCTTCATTGTCTTCATTACTTCCCTAGAGATAAAAGTACAGTTTTCTTGTTGCATTAAGTCAGAGCTGGACAAGCCACTCTAGCTTTGAAGCATTTGTCTCTACTAGCACTTGTGTTTTTATAACACCTCAGTATACATCTCTGTCTTATCTGCTCTTGCTGCCTCTTAAACTTTTCCAGGACAGCTAGCTGCCTTGGCAGTCCGCATACTACTTGGGCTCTGAGCCACTAAGGCTTTGAAGCTTGGGAGCAAAGCCTGGAACGAACAGCTGAAGCAAAACTAAGCCAATGAAATGATCTGATGAGAAGCTGCACTGTTGTCACACTTAGCTTCAGAGACAAGGAATTTGAAAAATTTAGTGAGAAGGTGGCAAACAAATGGATTGCTGTGGCTGGACAGCTATCTCCCTGGTGTGGGAAGGTAGGAGTAGCTTGCTCTCCTTCCTGCAGTAGGGATATTCTTTTTCAAGCTTCCTGATGTTATTGGGAAGGTATCATTCTAGCTTTCTCTGTTCTTACAGTGTGGATGTAGGACAACTTCAAAACCAAAAACCTTGGCTTGTTGTGGGTCATCATTCACTTGAGGTGTACTTTTACAGAAAATGGTGTTAAACAGGTCTGTCAATGAAACTCCAAACTGCTGTTATGACTGACCTTGAGAGAATAAGCTGTTGCCACTAATACTGGGAAAAAGTTTGCAACTGGAGGATAACCAGAGTACCACGATGAAAATATGACTAATCTTCTGGCAAGGGCCAAAACTAAGTGGTCTCTTATTTAGCTAAAAAACTGAAATATGAATCGAACAGCTTTCAGGCATAGTGCATGCATTACATGCAGCTTGTTTCCCACAGTGTTACTTGAAGAATGGGGGAAAAGGGGCAGCAATAGTCATACCAATGTGTTATTTGGAATCTTCTGCCTCTCAGAATGTTAAGATGCTACTACTTTGAGAAGGTTTTTTACCCTCAAAATACTGTAGCAGGAAATATGCTCCTCTTAACTAATACTTCGTAAGCAACCTGCAATAGTGGAGCTGACTGTGACAGATCTGTTTCTTACGGTATGACACAACCTAATGAATTTTTCTCTTGTTCTGCCTACCTAGAACTTTAACACACATTGAGAAGCTCTCTAAAATTGCTTTAGCTTATTGTTAACTCCCTTAAAGCCAGTTAAATGTATTTTTTAATTAGTAAAGCTTGTCTGTGTTCATCACATCTGTATGATGCCCTGCAGTGATCTTTTTAAGACCAATTTTGAGAAAGGAAATGCTACCATATACAGTCTTCAGCTGTGCTAGGCTGCTATCCTGATCTAAATTTATCATTTAATGGGGAACTTCACTGTGTAACAACTTCAAAGGATATCTGTGCTGTGAAACTGGCATATGGGAAGTGAGAAACAGAAGTATATGATATTTCTTACAGAGACGCTTGCGATGAAAGGACTGACCTTGAACTGCTTAGGGAAGAAGGAAGAAGCATATGAATTTGTTCGTAAAGGACTTCGTAATGATGTAAAGAGTCATGTCTGTATCCTTTGTAATACAAAACCTGATCTTTTTGTTATGAGCTCTCACTTCTGTGTGTATGATTTTGTTGCTATATCAGTACATACTTTTGAAGTACCATAATGTGGTCTGTAGACAAAAAGTCTAAAATAAGGTGTGTACAGTGAATATTAATTGGTAGTCAAATACTTGAAATAAGGTTTTATTTTCCTTTCTACAATTTTTGCAGAATCTTTAAGAAAAATGCCTTCTACATTTGTCTCTTGGGGGGGGGAAAAGACCATCTATGATGTTTACTTTCTGCATAGAATAGGTATGGCTGGCCTTTTCTAAAGTTTTCTTCTCTCTTAAAGGTATAAGAAATCCAATCTAGCGGTATTCTGAAAACTCCTATTTTGCCACTAAATTTGAGATAATAGTTTAGGTCTACTGGCCTGATGACTACTACTCTGTTCTAAGCTTGTCTTCCAAAAGTTTATACCTGTGAAATACTTAACAGCTGCCCAAGAGCTTTGGGAGTAGCTGTCTTCTGTTTAAGCCACAGGTGGGAGACTACTTCAGATTTGCACAGAATGCCTTACTTGTTCTGTATGCATTTGAGTAGCTCGTTAAGGGGCAAATTTCCCATTAAATATTTAAGTTTTTAACATTAAAAAAACCCCTTCCTTTAGTATCATAGGAAACACTTTCTGATGGCCATCTCGTTAAGACAAAGGGATAGCTGTTTACAGCATTCGTATATTAAAAGTCCAGGGAGCTTGAGGGTTGGGAAAAACCTCTAAGTGTATGGAGGTTATCAGAGTTACTAGAGGTATGCCATAAAACAGTCAAAGCTAACTTGTATCTTCTTGATCTTAAAAGCAACTTTAATCTATGTGTAAGAAGTCTTGCACCTTAAATCAGGGAGCAAAAGAATCTGGACGAGTTAGTGGAGAGTTTTGGGGGATTCTGATTGCTAAACAAAATTCCAGAGTGAGATTTATCAGCCTCGCTCATTCTTGTCTGCAATTCATGCTGACTCTTAAAACTGTCTAGAAGACTTCCCTACAAATGCTGGAGGGATCTGTGCTTTTTCAGATCTAATTTGGGTGGTGGGGTACTCAAAGGGACCCTCCTCCTGGACAAGTTTAAAAAAAAATGGATTTTCTTGAGGTTTAGTGCATTTTTATCACTGTTTTACTGACTTGTTAAACTTACCTTGCCTTAAGAAGACTACAAAGATATTTTTGTTTTCTGAGTTCAGAGACAGTGTCAACTCACCTGAATCCTGTTAGGCACAAATGTGTTGGGTTTTTTTAAGCTGCATCTGTAGAACTAGCTCTGACAAAGCAAGAAGTTCCAACTTTTTCCATTCAAGTGTATTGTTACAGCTCTACAGAGAATCCCCTAGAATAATCTGTTTATGCAGGATTACTTCTCTAGTGAGCATAAGCTAGCTGATACTGAATTAATTCCAGACTAGGCATCAGGTTTGTCACAGTACTTTCAGTTGTCATCTCTTGGTAAATTCTAAAGAAATAGCAAACCTCTTTTACTATTAGCACACTTTAAGACCACCTGATGTGCTATCATTATGTCACTACCCAAATATCTGAATCTTTCCTGATGGTGGGGCTTAAGTACATGGGGAGAGTCAAGGCTAGGAGAATGTATATTCTAGCCCATGAGAAACTGAGATCTGTGGCTGAGCTTTTTAATAAAGGTTCCTTCTACAGCCTTTGCAAAGGCTTGTGACTAGCCATGAAGTTCTGATGAAAGCTTGAAGGCCTGTTGATCCTCAGTGCTACTTAAGCAGAGCTTGGGAGGTTCTCTAAAATAATGTTTACATTTCCCGTTGTATGTGAGCTTAATGCCTGTCATTTGGTTTAAAGGGAGAGGTGGGGGGTAGACACTAAAGTCACCTCGTTCCAGTAGGTGGTTTCGAGGAGATGCAATACATCTATGTGTTCTTATTTTCTTGTGGTAACAGTTGAAGGTGCTTTTGGTGTATTTTGTCATCTGTGCTTTTTAGACAGCACCTGGTAGAGGGTGTTTAAAATACAGCCGGTCATTTCAGTGTTCTGACTTGTTTAAGGAGGAGTAGAAGATTTTGATTCTTCTGCGATTCCCCATATTAAGGTTTGGGGGAAAATGGCCATTGTAAAATTGTTTAGAAATCCAGAAATTTTTTGGTCAAACTACAAATGGATTCTGACCCATTTTTGGGTATAACTTGAGTAATGATCTGGTCAGAGATCTACACTTATTTCAAGAAGTGTTTCAGGTAGTGGCATGTTATACGCGGGACACTGTAGGAGCATGTGCAAGACTGCCTAGAGCTGTCTATTATAATAAATTGGTGGCACTGTGCTTTACTGGCTTGCGTCAGCTGTTAAAATTTCTTATGCTTAGTTTTGACTACTGTACACACTTACTTCTGAATGGGTTTATGCTTTTCTTTACTTGATTGCTTGGTAAAGAATATGATTTATGAAAGATTAAGCCAGATTACCAATTGAATCCAGGAATGGTAATGATGCCTGATAAATTACTGAAAGCATTATCTTGGTCTAAGTACACTGTTAAAGTGCACATAAATTCTTTTGGACTGAATTGTCTTGCTATAGGTGAGAATCTAAAATACCAGTAGTTCTGAGGCAGGTATATGAAGATGCTACATTTAACTTTGATCCACGTCCTGAATACCTGAACTCAAATAGGCAAGGCAGGATTTATAGAACGAAGTAGCAGTATTAGGCCAACTGCTGTAATTGTATCCAAAATTGTTTCATCCCCCTTTCCTGTTCAGTCTTAAATCATGATGGCAGCAGTAGCAGCTCTCCTAGCAGTCTCGGAGGCATATGGAGTTTCTGTGTGCTTCAGCTGGCTGAAATTAATTTGGTGTTTCTGTAGAAATGCAAAACAGGGTCTCTTGCTTATGTATTAGAAGTTTCCTTCAGACTATTAATTCTCACAAGTCTTTTGGCTGGAGTTTTATATCTCTTACTCCTGATAATGATGAACCTGCTTTCTATCTTAATATGTAGAACTTACTTCAGGACCTGAGTCTTTCTTAGAAAGAGGGAACTTATAGTTCTGTTTCTTTGATTAATTTGACCAGGTTAACGCATTGAATTTTTTGTGCTTTATCAACTTTTTGAGATGTGAAGCTTAGAAATTATTAATCTTTGGAGGGAACAGTTGCTTCTGTTTCAATTCAATAACATAAGAAGTCTTAAATATTTTGGTTATTAGCACTATGAGTTATTTGTGCCGTCTTAACTGAAAGTGGGTGAAGGATGCATATACCTCTCCCCGAGATTTGCTGGGGTTTGGTGCTTCCAGGACACATAGGAGAGCTTCTTGAGAGAACTTTTGAGCCACTTCTAATTTGAAAATCACAGTAAGTTCAGATTTACTAGTGTGGAAGATGTTGCCTCAATGAGCTACTGGTAACCTGGAGTAGCAAAAAGTAGATCGTGTCAAGTAACCTTTCATTTAATATGACTTTTGGAGACTGATGTAAGCGCACACAGTGTAGTGTGTCATTATGACATATGTTGGTTTCATGCTTTGAATTCAGAATCTTTCCAGGATAAAAAAGGATGCTTGTGAGAAGTCTATTGAAATGACACACTACTGATGGAAATCTGAGATGCTGAGAATGTGACAGACTTTTGACACACAGAAATGCTAAGATTTCCTTTTGTCAATGAATAAAGCGTAGCTCTATGTTTATCCCTTACTGTAAAATCTGGAGACTAATTGAGGTTACAGATAGGCAGGTGAGGAAAAGTCAAACTTTTACACCAATTGTACTGTTAGACACTTCTAGGGGTAAGAATTCCTACTGTAATTACAGTAGTATGTTTTAAACAATACATCTGCAGGAATAACTCTTCTGGGTCTTGTGGAGTTTGGATCATTTAGTTTGTATAACAATGTTTTGGGGGGTTATGAATGTGACAAGACTTTTAAATGAGACTTATTGCTTATTTGGAAGCATTTAATATTTTAAAATGTGTCAGTAAAGTCTGGCTTCAGTAATCAAACTTAATTTATAAGGGTGCTGATCTTCAAGGAAGATGGCAAGTTGTTTGGTCTGTAACACAAATGCGCTGCAGTTACTTTGTGAAAATTGTGAATGTATCTTCCTTAACGTGCATTAGGTTGGCATGTCTATGGTCTCTTGCAACGTTCTGATAAGAAATACGATGAAGCCATCAAGTGTTACCGGAATGCACTTAAACTAGATAAAGATAATCTACAGATCTTGAGAGATCTCTCTCTGTTGCAGATTCAGATGAGGGATTTAGAAGGATATAGAGTAAGTATTCTCTTTGAATTCCCATTTATTGCTGTTAGCATTCTCTTGTTATTCTATTCCATTATTAAGTCTCTTGTTGGTAGTAATTCTGTTGCTACTTGTTTTTGCTGTTTCAAAAGTGTGTTAAACTCTTGTTTAGGAAAGCATGAAAACGTATTGCAGCCAAGCTCCATATGATGTTGAGAACAGAACTAAAAGTACAGTTATTCTGTACAATTTGACTTGTGGATCACCTTGTAAAACTAGTTCTCAACTTTTTCACTAAAATAATGAAAATAAAAAGGATAAGACTTAAAGCTTAGCAAGTAAGAGTACTTAACTGTGGTTTTGTGAAGTACTGCAAATGGTGTTTTGGGTCCATATACTGAAGGTGCTTTTTGTGAGAAATACGCTATCATGTTTCTTCTGAGTATATGCGAAACTTGCCCCATGATGACTGATTTCTTGAATCCCAGTACTGATTTTATCATAAATAAAACTTTTAACTCTGTTTTTAGACAAATTTTGTGGTTTCAAAATGGCTGCACTGATTTGGCTGTGAAAGGGAAAAGTCCAGTTCCTCTTTTATCCTCTGTTTCATGTGAAATAGAAGACTGGATTGTGGGCTTCAGCATTAGTTGGTCTCCTTCACTGAGGATGTTGAATTTGCTAATGCAAGCAAAGGGAATAACTGACTTAGGGGTATGATTTGACTCAGGAAGGGGTCTGAGAAGTACTGCAGCAGTATGAGGACCTTGTACCTGGGCATGAGGAGAGTGGGACTGCTCTTTCGGTGGCAGTGAGCTCATCTTTCTAATGGAAATCCCTTTCTGAGATTTTAAAGCTCTCTTTGGAAATAATTTAGGCCCTCAAGAAGTACTCTTGAAAATGACACCGTTTGTGTCCCAACAAATAGACTTCGTGCTTTGTACCATGACTCCTATATTTAGAATGTAGCCTCCAGATCTACGAGACTGAGACATCCTGCTTTTCTCCATGCTGTTAGAATTTCAAAAATTGCCTAGGGCTTTTAAAAGATCTTCTAAAATATTAGCCGTACTGGTGGTAAATCATGATAAAGGTGTAGTAACTCTTCTTTAACATCTCTTATTTTTTAAATTGTTTTTCTTTTACTGAAGGAGACAAGATACCAGCTACTTCAGCTGCGCCCTACACAACGGGCTTCGTGGATTGGATATGCCATTGCATACCACTTACTAAAAGATTACGATATGGCCTTAAAACTACTTGAAGAGTTTAGGAAAACCCAACAGGTAAGACTTCCTATTCTGGAAAGAGAACTCTTTCTGTATAAGAGACAGAATCTGAGGAGTTACTTCTTTGTAACTAGGAAGAACTAATTAGGAACCAGTTAGGAAAAAATTTGTTTTGTGGAGCTTTCTGCTTTGAGCAGAAAGATTTCCAGGAGCTTAGCAGCTGATGCAAATTATACAAGAATACTTTTTCCCTTTGCAGTAGGCTGTTAGGGTTAAGGATATAAGGGTAGACTGATGTGGAGCAACTGAGTAACTTAACGTTTGTGAGGCTTGTAGCTAAAGAAAACCTGTGATGATCCTGTCACTTTACAGTAGGTGAAACTTCAGAAAATAATGCTTAGTGTTGGATGTGCTTGTTTGCCCTTTCTCCTGCCATAGCCTGGAAGTTATTGCATCTCTACAAAGAATGTGAAAAACTTTTTCATTGCTTTGCATGCATCTGTATATTATGCACTTAAAATCAGTGCTTGGTGTCAAAGTAACATGAAAGCATAGCTGAAAATTCTTTGTTTGAGAAGATTTGGTGTTACTGAAACTTGTTGGAGTAAATCAAATGGTACAATGCTAAAAATCACTGAGTATAACCTTTTTAAGAGAGAGACCATTCCCTTGTTCTGTTATTGGTAACACAGAACTAAAGTCTGAATTAACAGAACAGAGTGGATGTGTTGATTATTCTGTAACATGGAAAGAAAAACTCTGTTTATAGATGCATTCAGCTTGGGAGGTGTGCTGGAAGTATCATTTGCAGATACTAAGATATTACCTGACCTATAGATTGTGGGGTTTTTTTTTTAAAAACAAAAATCTCGCATCCTTTGAGATGACTGCATTTGAGATCTTACGCAGCCAGAATGGGACTAACTGTGAGAAAGGAAATTAAAAATTGCTAGGAGGGACCAGTGTTTGTGTCTTGATCATGCATCGAAGGGATGTTGCAAGCCAGGTATACATAGCTTGATATTTCAAAAGAGCTGTAACTTCACTGTTGAATAAAACTGAAAACAGTAAGTTTAAATGAAAATTGGGTTTGACAGCCAAAAAGTCATGGTTCTCAAATGAGTCAGCAGAACCCAATCTGAGTTCAGTGTAGAAATGACTGTTCAAATTAGGATATATAACAGATGGAAAAACTGCAAATGTAGTGTAAGAAATTGAGGTTCTTTCAAGGACTAAGAGGGCTTAACAGTGGTATTGGCCCCTTGGAGAGAATGGAAGTGATGCTGTTAATGTTGTTGTCTTTTCTAAAAGGTTGTGTGTAAATATGCTTGTTTGAGGGCAGTCATGATGATAATGCTCTTCAATCTAGTGACTAAGCCAGATTTAAATACCATCTGCCATAGATGAACATATTAAATCAGTTGAGTCTGCTGTGCAAGTTATCACAATCTTAAATCTCACCCTAAAACAAAGAAATCCTGAGAAGATCTCAAGCTCTGATTCCATTTTTTTTAGTAAAACTGGAAATATTTGGGAAATTTCCATAAATAGGAAAATGGTTTGTGCTTGAACAATGAGCTATTTAACTGTTGATTAGCATGTCAGTCACAGGCAAATGGTAGAAAAGCTGGTTAAGCATTAAAGGATAGAAATATGCTACAAATGTTGGACAACATGAGTTTGTGGAAAATTAGTAGTGTCAAGCCTTTCCTCTTTTTTTGAGATTGGTAGAGACAGTTAAGTGATATATTGTGTTTTCTCCCCCAAAGCGCTAAAAATAAGGATGACCATATTAATTTAATTTCTCTTGCAAATAGAGAGAGTCTTGTGCTTTGCTGTGCTAGCTCCCTGAGGAGTGCAGGCCCATACAGAGCCCCAACCACTGGAAGAGAGAATCAATGAGTTGCGTCCAGAACAGTCAGGAGAGCCCAAGCAAACTCGCAGCTCAATTTTGCCACACTTTGGCTCTTCCACAATAGTCCCCAAATGTACTGTTTGTGCGGTCTCTGGATATTTAACAGTCCTGCACTTAAAATAGTTGACTTCAGGATACTCCATTGATCTTGGAGGAGGTATGCTTCTTGCTTACTTTACTTTACAAATCTCCCCTCTTGCCCTGTATACTTCGTATGCACTCCAGCTCAGTAGATGAACTTTTGTGACTGACTTGATAGAATATTGCATGTGACTGTGATAAAAGCATGATGTTGTTCAAGGTTTAAAAGGAGGGTTGAAAGACTTGAAGGACTTCCAAATCACTAGTGAATGGGAATCTTCAACAAACTGATGTTTTTGAGGAGTTTTATGGCAATCTGTATTAGGCCTGATACTGTTTACCATTATTGTTAAAGAATGAAGAAGTAAATGTAACATGTTATGTAAAATGCTGCTGTTGTAATAATTGGTGAATAATGGTGGTGTAGGGTGATCATATTCATTTACTTGGATTACTCAGGTAGCTCTGTCCATTCAGATGTGAATTTACACAGCCAAAACCAAGCAGTAAAACTAAGGAAAAGATCAAGGAACTGTCATTTTAGTGATTGTAGGTGAGTATCTGAAGATGCAGTATTACAAAATAATGGAGCTAATCTAGCTACAAGCTGTTGCCAAAACCAGCAGTCTGATTTTCCTCTGTGCCCCCACTGCTTCCTTGTGCAGCACTGGTTGACTCGTGGAGGGCTGGTTCAGGAAGCCAAAGTGACAGAAAAATAATCACTTTTCTGAAGGATTGATTGGCTGAACTGAACTGTGAGGTGAGAGGCGAGAGAGGAAGGGGAATAATAGAGGGAAGTGAACTGCCTTTGTTGATCCAGGCTGCAGTTAGATTGACTTAGCTTATTGTAAAATGGTCCCTCAGGGCAGACTTATGGGTGAAAAGCAAAAAACAGCCTTATTTCTGAGAAGAAGCAGGGATTTTTCTCTATAGAGCACTGATTACTGAGAGATCAAGACTTACTGATGACCCTGTTTATAAAAAGTTAGAAAATGAAAAGAACAACATGGAAAGATAAGAGGACTAGAGAAAATGCTGTGTAGTGAAGGGCAGAGATTCTTTGTTTACTGTAAGCAGAAAAAACCTAGGTGACTCTAGTACAGTTTAGATACTGGTTTTGGGAAGAATGACAGCTAGGAAGATTGCTTAGTGTGGAAAAACAAAGGAACAAGTAGTGGCAGGAAGTTGAGCAACAAATTCAAATGATAAATCACTTTTTATCACTGACAGTTTTATTCTAATGGCTTAAGTTATCATTGGAAATGGTGAATTTTCTGTCTCTTAGTGTATCCAGATCAACATTGCCTGTCATCTGAAAGCTGTACATTAACCAGATGCACAATATTTCAGTCAAAAACAGGTTATGAGGTTGAATGCAGACATCGCTGCAGGAAATGTAACAGCCTGTGCTGTCCAAGTTAAAACATGATTTAAGAGTCACTTCAGAATTTAAATTTTGGGAACCAAGGTGTAAAACAACTATGCAATTTGTTTTACTGTTGTATGTCCCATTTTTCCTTTCTTCTTTTCCAGAACAAAATTTTTATTCTTAATTTTTATTTTATTCCTAATTTCTGCATCAGGCCCACAATTACAGATATGGACAGAAAACCTCTGGAGTTTTGGGGGTCTGCTCTTAGGTATGTTTTGGCTGCATCTTGTCACATTCTTTCAGTGACAGTTATGTTAGGGCATCTATGGTTGTAAAGTTGATTCTTTTTTTTGGTCTAGGAGAGGAAGAAATTTATTCTGAAACAGCAGAATTGAGTTCAAGAGAAAGCTGGACATCTCATACAAGAATCATAACTCTTCAGGGGGGAGGGAGGAGTAAAGATGTATTGTGCAGCAATAACAATGGTGTGGAAAAAACTTTTTATAGAATATCTTATTCTTTATAAGAAAATCTGATTATTCAGATTAACTACGGGGGTTATAAGCTGCTTGCCTTCTGATGAACAGCATGTTTAAATCATTAACCTGATGAGATTTCAAAATCTCTTTTAAAATGAGCTTCTTAAAACTACTTTTTAAAATGGCTTTTTAAACGGAGCAACAGCAAGCGCGGTATCTTTCTGGTGGATTTGCCCTGTGTGTAAGAGGGAGTTAATTTGATTTTTTGACACTTCATAATTTCTTTTGTTAGTCCTGCCAAGCCAGAAGAGCTACAAGATGGTTAATTGATTTTGTCTCTTATATATTTGGTTTGCCTTTTATATATTAAAGGTTTTTGGGGTAATCTATGTTTTGAAGGCCTAAAACCAATTCATGTGCCAAAAAGCTGTGCTACTTGTGGAATTTAGATGTGTATTGTATTGGAGGGGAGGATATTTTTATGGGGGAAGTGAAAGAGAAAGAACTAAATTGGTGCTCTGCAGTTTCAGTTATGTGATATTGCAGTAAGGATAAGCATGAAGACATGCTTAAACGCTTAACCCCTGTTGCATGTGTCAATTTTGTTAAGCAGTTAAAAATGCTTTTCAGATAACAATATTTTTATTAGTGACTTCTAATGTTTAATATGCCTAAAAATTGAGCAAAGGTGGAAACAGAAATAGAGCTGCAGATAGAGGAAATATACTTTAAGAAATGGGTAGAATTCCATGCTACCTGCTGACTCTAGTATGTGCAAGGTCTAGTCTTGTTTCGTTAGCCATCACTTGCTATAATATATTAGCAGTTCCTAAAAATACTTGAATGCTGTTATTTTCAGCCCCAAAACTGATGTTCATTGTCACATACACACTTCTTTCCAATATTTTTAGTTATGCTGTCTTTCAGAACATTTCTATCTGAAAGGAAATCTTCCTTTTAAAAATTCAGAGTACTATAAAAGCTGCCTCTAAAAAATTCAAAGAGCATGTAAACAGAAATGTTAAATCTTGTAAAATTGATCTGCCCTTAAGGAAGGGCTGGAAGTAGTGGTTAAGGACAAGATTCTTTTAATATGAATGCTAATTTTAACCAGCTTAATGTTTTGGGGTGGTGTTTGTTGTTTATTAAATTACTTTGTTCTTTAAAGAAGACAGAGGAAAAGCTTTACTCAGGGAACAGAAAAGTAACAGTAAACTGTTTGGTGACCAGTGCGACTTCGAAGTGTTGCTTGCTCAGGAAGAAATGTAGTGTCATGGGGAAGAAAATCATTAACACTTACCAAGCTCAGCTGCTTCTTATCTATTTTTATTTAAAAAAATCATGTTGGACTATAACTGTCTCTCCTACAATTGCTGTTGAGGCAGTATATTTCACATAATAAACTGTTGTATAGATCTGCTGGGCGTTGTCTGCGGACTTCTGCATTTGGTCTCTGAAATTCTTACAATCTACTCGTAATTGAAGTAGCTTCTGTGTATATTATTGAAGAGCATTTAGTATGAAATAATTATAACTCTGGCAAGACTTTTCATTGCCTAAATACACTTCAGGGAGTTATCTTTATAGAGGAATACTTTTGAATGTCATCCTGTTTCAGTGGCTGATGTATCACTGGAAGGTGAATGACCCACTAGTTTTACTATAGCCTGTAAACTAAGTCCTAGGTATGCAACTGGCAGCAGACCTCAAAATAATTATCTGTTGCTTGAAAACACTCTTTGCATGCTTGTGCACTGTACTTTCTGGGGGATTGAAGTGTAGTACAGAGAACACTTGGTTAGAGGAAAATAGTGTAAGTTACCTGTCTGAAAAAATCTAGTTGTCAAGCTATGGCCAGTATTTGGGTGGTTTATTGCTCTTGGAAATAGTCTGATCCAGAATTTTTGGTATGCTGAAAATCAGTGTTGTGATATCCCAGCAATCTGCTGCAAAACTTTGGGCAAAATTGTTGTGGAGTACGAGTCCTTCAGGAGAAGATTACCAAGATGTTAGCAAATTTTATTGAATTGTATGAGAGAAGGCAAGGATTCTGTTTTTAATTAGCTCGCCACAGTGATAGTGACAAGAGAAATACAGGAATTCTTTTTAAACTGTTCTCTAACAAAGGATATCCTGAATTAATTGAATTTGATTGTGAATAATGGGAGTTTTACGTTTTGAATGTTTGGATGGGTATATAAATAGACCTGATATATTCTGTAGCCTGAATCTTGTGTTCTGTAATATTGCATACAGTTGAGGTACAGGTAAATGTTAACTAACCTATTGCTTTCTTCCCCCCAGATTCCTCCTAATAAAATAGATTATGAATATAGTGAACTGATTTTATATCAAAATCAAGTGATGAGAGAGGCAGATCTATTTCAGGAGTCTTTAGAACATATAGAGACATATGAAAAGCAAATATGTGATAAATTAATAGTAGAAGAAATCAAAGGTAAGTAATTCTTCTTCCCTCAGCCAATTTTGTTCTAAACTTTTGCTACTGGCTTTCAGATATGATAAAGCAGTAAAAGAAAAAACATGTGAAATCTTGCATTTATTTAAAACAATTACTACAGAGGAAACCGGTAAAACGAGACTTACGATTTTGTGCTCAAGTAACTTGGCCTACCAAAGTGGATAGTGGATGCAGATAGCTTAACTTGGGTTGACACAGGAACAGAGGAGACCTCAGAGATTATTATATTGGTGCATACTAGAGTAGCTTTCTGTAAATCAGCTAGTATAAATCCAGTTTTAATCTCACATTTGTAGTACAAACGCTGATTTTTTTCTGACTGAAGTATCAAATTCTTGTTTCCTTCTTAAGCTTTCTAGTGCACTTACTTGTATTGCCCTACTTAAGTGAATACTGAAGTTGAATTTTTTGATTAAAAATAATCCACAGTTGTTTTGTGGATTTGAAATACTAATACTGAGTTCTGAATATGTGCAATTATATAGTGTAATAATACATATTCTTCAGCTGCTCCTTGCTTGCACAATTGTGGTGGGTTGACCCTGGCCAGCAGGTAAGCCCCACACAGCTGCTTGCTCACTTCCCTGAGTCTCCCTTGTCAGGACAGGGGAAAGAATAGGAAGAACAAAAGCAAGAAAACTCATCTGTTGAGATAAAGATAGATTAAGTGAAGGAAAGAAGAAGGAAAAAGGAGGGGGGGGGGGGGAACCAAAACAAACCAACAAAAACAACCCAGATCTCCAAGTGATGCAAAGGCAATCACTCGCCACCTCCCACAAGCAGACTGATGCTCACTAGTCTCCAGGCAATGGCCACCTGCCCAGACATGCCTTCCCCTCAATTTTTATTACTAAGTGTGACACTATATAGCATGAAATATCCATGTGGCCAATTTGGGTCAGCTGTCCAGGTTGTGTCTGCTCCCAACTTACTGTCCACCCTGGCCTGTTTGCTGGGTGGCAGGGTGGGGATAAAAAGAGAAAGCCTTGATGCTCTACAAGTACCACTTAGCAGTTGCAAAAACATTGGTGTGTTATCAAAAGTTTAGTCACAAATCCCAAAACACAGCACTGTATGGGCTGCTGTGAAGAAAACAAATTCCATGCAAGCCATACCCGGTAGAACAATTTACTCAGTAGCAAACCAGTGTGATTTAACTGGTTAAAAACTGGTTAGTTGGTGTGAAAAATACAGGTGTAGTTAAGTAAACAGCCTGATAAGAAGTGAAATAGTCATGTGTTGGAGTCCTGGAAGGAAGAGTTACTTGTTTCTTTGATAATCCCAATAGCTATTTTAAATACTTGGATACGGACAGTCGAATAATCTTTGTTTTCACAGGTACTGAATGCTCCAAACTGTGTTGAGCTATATGTGTGGTAGCTTCAGGTAGCACTTGTAATACACAGTAAATGCCTCTGGAAAAATAAAGCCTCTTTTTAAGTATCTACATATGATTAAGCCCAATTTTATGTATCTAGTTTTGTAAACTTCACTCCCAAGTCATCAGTGTTCTCTCATGTAATTACTGCGTTGTTTTTAGGTGAGATGTTACTGAAGTTGGGAAGACTGAAAGAAGCTGGTGAAGTATACAGAGAGTTAATTGAGCGCAATGCGGAAAACTGGTATTATTATGAAGGCTTGGAAAAGGCCCTGCAACCTAGTAAGTTAAGATACACAGATACATTGAAAATATGTTATGATACAGGATATACTTAAAATTCCTGTTTGATGTGTTATGTTTTAGATTAAAAAGCTTTACTTGGCAGAAAATTATGTACTTTCTAATCTTGAATATGATGTAGTTGTGTTTATCCATTTTAAAAATGTTCACTGAAAAACTTGATGCATGAAAATACCAACAGGAAGTCTTTTGCTTGGAGCTAAAGGTGGCATTTGCTAATGTGCTTACACGAAGAACATTTCCTTGCCACACATGAACTTGGAAACCAAATTGCAATTCATTCCTGTCTAGTAGTTGATTGTCAGACTACTATCATACACCGCAATGTAAAATTGTCATTCTGAATCTTGTTTAGGTGGTACCTCTTTCTATGGGCTTGTAGAGAAATACTCAAATATATATTTCAGATGGCCTTTTAAAGTTAGGCCATCTGAAAAAAAATATCTTTTTTTTAAGGTGACTGTTCTTTGGATGAAAAGGTGATAAATGTGAATAAATCTGTTGTTCAAATGCAAGTTCACATGACTGTTCTGTCTTTCCAGGAAAATAGCTAGTTGTTTGGGATATTTTTAATTACAATATTGCATCAATTTATACTGTAAGTGTTTTGCAGTTGTAACTGTCCCAAGTGTTTCCCTTTACACAGGAATGGTTTCCTTGTATTTCACTGTTCATTAATTAGTGGAAGATTTGAGTTATTCTGATGACATCATAAATCATAAGCCCACAAGGCTATTATTTGTAGAGATTATAGCTGCATTATATTTCTCAACCAGCTTTCTTCTAGAAAGTTTTACAGTTGGGTTTCATAAGGTCTGGGAATATGGCTTGTGATTGGGAAATGAAAATGATTGCATTTGTTAAATTTATGCAGAGTAGTGTTGCCCTTTGGTTTTCCTAGTATATCCATAGAGTTGAAGGTCATGATAATTGTCTCAAAATAAATTACCCAAGAACTTGATTATTCTGTTTGATATAATAAATGTTGATGAAAATGTGTAGTTCTTAACAAAGAACCAATCCAGTTGTTTATTTGACAAATTAAAATCCTATGTAGATTAAAACTGTACTAATTTATAAAACTAATAATGCTACTTTATTTTTTAGGTGGTCTTAGGACTATTTCCTCCCCCATGGTAAGTTCTGGAGCTCCAACTTGTGACTTCAATTAGGGCTTTTATATGCTTTAGTTCCAATCCAAACATTATTTTAGCATAACTTTTAGAACTCTACATCTCTTGGAGCCACTGGGTAACATATTTCCCCCCCCTCCCCAACATCTGAGCTCAGTGACAAGATAAATTTTTTTCTTCTGAAAGGAAAACGGATATATTTATTAAATATGTTGTGTCATAGTCTTGATCTGTACCTTCAGTTTTATTTAAATTGCTTGATGAATTCCATAATATTTAAGCAAAATTGATCTTGATTATGTGAAAATGGCATTTCAAAGCAAGAGATTAGTTTTATTAAAGTTCTAACCACATTGGAGCTCCAAAGCATATTATGGGGGAAAGGGGAGGAGTGGGAAGAAAATCTTTAAGTAGCTTCATTTTTGTTAAACATTAATGTATAAAGAGTTCTGGTGCTCAGTACTTACACTGGCAGTATTGTGCCCTGTTTTTGCTGCCACCAGAGGACCTATAATAAGGCATGCTTGTATAGTATGCTATTTGTATACCTGTGATTTAGAAATGCAATATATTTCTCTGAACGCTTTAAGTATGTCTGAAATGGATGCATAGTGAAAAAACAGTTAATTGAAGCTATGAATGTCAAACTACTGTATGAATGGGTCTGCACAGCATGTAACTGAAAGAAACCAAACTTTAGTACTAATGATTGAATATACAAGGAAATTGTCCTGTTTGAAGTTTGTCCTTAGTGATTAATGCTGGTAGTTGTGTAATGTACATACAGCGTGTTTTCAATACACAGTTTTACACAGTAATGTTTATGATTAACTGGAAAAAATAGCTTGAAATACTTAAATTGTTCCAAATCCAAACAGTGTAAGAAGTCTAGCTAAATTAATTCTCAACACTTAAAAACATTTAGAAGAATAGATTTTTCTCTGTTACTTATATCTATTATATTTACTGATAATAGGCACTTTAGAAGAGAGGCTTCAGATTTATGAAGAAGTTAGTAAAAGACATCCCAGAGCAGTTTCACCTAGAAGATTACCTTTAAACTTTGTTTCAGGTAACAAGTTGCATATCTGTTCTGTAATAGTTTTTTACTGTGTTTTTCCTTAAGTTTTCATCAGGCTGTTGAATGTGCATTTAATACCTGTTTGTGCATTTAATACCTATTAGTACATGTACACAGATCAGATGTATGCATTTCTCTTGGAATAGACAAAATTTTGTTATGTTTTAGGAGTTGATAGAAAAAGTTCATGTGCTCTAATACGGTGATATGAACTATGTAATGTTTGTATTGATAAAACTGCAGTACAGAATGGTATATAGATTGTAGGCATTGTACATTATTTTTCTGCATCATGCGAGTTAAGAATCATAAGTTAAAAGGTAGGGGGTATAGTACACTTGAATTAAAGGTATAGGGGTGTATGTATATACACATCCCCTCCTATATCTTTAATATACACACATATATAAGCAAACTTATAATTTATAAACACTGAAACCAGGTGTAAATGATGTATATAACAATCACAATAGCATAGGACTGAACTTCGTAACAATTTTTGTACTGTACAGTTTTTTCTACTGTACAGAAAACACCAACTCTTTTTTATGACTCTGAATATCATACTGGGTGTACAACACTGTTGCAGAACCATTAGAACTTAAATCTACAACATAAACTAACTTTGTGCTGATAATTCAATAAGAATAGGAACAAAAAGCAGGTCTGCAGTGTTATGTAGCATGAAATGTTTTATTTTTAATTTTATAGCCAAGTTCTTTCAGTGATTCTGTTCTTCCAGAAGTTGTTTTGAAATGCAGTGTGCAGATATCCTCAGTTCTGGAGGGAATATGTATATACTTTTTTAAAACAGAAAGCTATGATGTTCCAAAATAGAAGGAAGGAGGCTAAATGAAATGGTAAATCCCATAAAAATACACACTTGGTATGTAGCTGTCTAACTGCTGTAACTCCAGTAGAAAACCTTTGGGAAGAAATATAAAGTACATAAATACCAAATGTCATCAAATTTAAGTTCAGCTGCAAATTGCCAATGTATTTGCTCATGCTTTTAATTGTGAGGTTAGTTTATAGTTTAGCTCAGTTACTGAGCACTGCACTTGTACCTTTATAGAATCATAGAATCATTGAGGTTGGAAAAGACCTCTAAGATCATCGAGTCCAACCATCAACCCAACACCACCACCACCCACTAAACCATGTCCCTAAGTGCCTCATCTACTCGTCTTTTAAATACCTCCAGGGATGGGGACTCAACCACTTCCCTGGGCAGCCTGTTCCAATGTTTAACCACTCTTTCAGTCAAGGAATTTTTTCTCA